CTAACATCAGTCAACCTGCGACTGTCAGGGTCTTGACCTGTCTGAGTCGCACTTGCTCGTTAGAAACGTTACACTCAGGCTTAGCCTAGTTGCTTAACAGCTCCGCACGCCAATACTTACTGTACACGATGTAGCTTAGTACCCCACTTCTTTTCAATGGAGACTGACATTGCACGGTAGCGGGCCATGCTGCGCACCGCGCGGCGCCACTCTACTAATTCGAAGAGAAGGTCAAACCGGCGAGGACGATGGGGAATTGTGAACTTTTGGAGTTCGGCGTTCGGCGTTCGCCTTCTAAGTTCGGCGAAGGAACCGGGGGTCCCGGTCCGGGTCAAAGCACACGATTATGATTCAGACGTCCCCTCATTCTCGTCAGTCATCATTACAATGAAGAAATCCGCAGGCATTCTTGCTCCAGCAGCACTGCCAGCCCGAATACAGATGTTATTCAAGTACTAGGATAGGCGAGGGCGGTAAGGTGATGACACACCTATACCATCCCCCCAGCCGAGAACGTCGGGGAAATGGTATTTTTCCACGAGCCGGAATCCGGCATTCCGTCCCCTTTCCGGCTCTGGGGTTACGAAGTCAACGTCACTAGTCCCTACCGCGCACGTCATTGCGCATTCCAACGCCGCTTTCGTCTCGCCAAGATAGTGATCATCATCGTTCAGCAAATATGTTCGGCGGCGACTCGCATCTTCTCCTCCCTTGATAACTAGTACTCCTCCTCGCCTCACCCCGAGGACCTATCTGCATGGTCAGGGGAGCGGTGGTGAGCAAGGCGAGGAGACTTACTTTTCCTTACGGGTGTGGGCAGAGAGACGAGATGGGAGGTCAGGCTCAGCCGACGCTGAGATTTTGGTGCGTATTATTATCCTTCTACATCCTCATGTTCCCGTGCAGCGCTAGATTTGTGTTGCACCACACATTCTGCCCGCATATGAGGGAGCAGTCGTACGAGGACGAACTCAAGAAGATGCACACCGCGGCACGGCGGTGCACTCAGTTGTGCGCGTTTGGGGCGCTGGGTTCGGATCGCCACCGCCCTCCGCGCTGTCTGACGCGACACCCTATACTTTGTACGTGCGCAGTGCCGTGTTGAGCTGGACGATCCCCTCATCGCCCTTCAAGTCTCGCTGAGCGCATTATACACACAATGCGACCGCCCTCGTTCGTGCCCGTTGCTCGATGATCTCGATCATGACTAGCCTCGTGCTCGCATTCAAAGTCGCTCTTATCATGTTTGTTGCAGTGCTCGTTCTATGCGTTTCGTGACGGTCGTATATGCAATACATAGACGAGTATGAAACACCTGGACGTGAATATTTTTGATATGTTTACCTTCAATCATGACCTTAGGATTGTCATCGAGTCCCGGGGGCCGTTCGAAAGAGAAGCAAACACATTGAAAGACTGCATTGTCGAACTTGTCACAGAGAATGTCGTTACAGCTGTCCTTGATCTGGAGATCCTCTTCTCTCCCCTCACTGCTGTCAGCCTTAATATTATGTGCATTTCGGAGGGGAGAGCACGACCTAAGTATTTAACAGGAGTGAAGTGGCAGCCCAGTCAAAGTCAAAGTCCGCGCACGCGATGTATGTAGTTGACATTTGTTTGAGTTTTGACTTTAGCAGTCCGGGCGGTGGTGGTTTTGGAATCTTGTGAAGCTATTCTAGGATATGGCATTCTGATTGTGTTTTCTTGGCATTCCGGCACTGGGGTTCCCTTTCGGGCTGGGCTGGGCTGCCGGATGCCTTGCGCCGGATGATCCCATAGCTCCAGCCTTCACCCCCAGCCACCCTCCTCCATCGTGTAAACACGAACATCGATGCGCTCTTGAGCGCGGGGGATCATTCAGATTGTGTCCTTGAATTTGTCCCAATGAGAACGTAACCAGGAGATTGGGATCTTAGTTTTACGAGAGATTCAGTAGGGGTGAGCGAGAGGTATAGCGGGCGGCGCTACAGTTGTGTCACGTTCTCCCTGCTGTGCATTCACAAAATCGGCGCGAAAGTCGCAGCAATAGTCGACGAAGTCGGTTATCTGCAGGTATGATATATGATGTGTTTGAAAGCTGTGATTTCGCTCGACGAGGGCGTGAATGGATTATAAAGTGACAGTATGCATCTTATAGCGCGGTAAGAGGATACAGGAGTTGTAGATCGACGTCTATATACTAGGAAGGCGTAGGCGCGAGACTACTCAGGGGCCGACGCGCATGGTTGATTTTCCGGCGAGACTGTGCCGAACGCCGAACCGTGGCGCCGAACATCAGCCAGAACACTCTCCTACCCAGATGGACGGTCGTGTAGTGTAGCATTAATCCCAGTATACTAGTACTATTATTAATTCTAATTACTATATAAGGTTTAATCTCCGACCCGATCAAGAAAACTTTTGAGCGACGACTACTGTCATCCCCCGTGAGAATGTACACCACCGTCAGGATGTACAACTGTCTTTTGTGGCCGTTTCCGGTGTAAAACTACCAAACTAAATTCATGATAATTATGTTTTAATGTCATTCCATATGATCCTGCGTTATAGTGACAAGCGGATATCTCGATGTGGAAGTTATAAGGCTCAAAAGACAGGAAATGGGTTGTTTTGAAAAAATTTCGAGCTCGGGTCGATAACCAGCTGTGAAATAGCTTCAATTTGTGTATAAAAAGTTACCATGTGTTGAAATGACACATTATGCCCCCATTGAAGCAAAACTGGGCACAACCAGAAGGCACAAAACTCTCAATAGTTTTGGACCGATGACTGAGTGTCCTC